AAAAAAAAAAAAAAAAGCCAAGCCACAACAACAACAAAACAAAACCACAAACCTCCACCAACAAAAAAAACACTAAACCAAAAAAAATCCGAACCACCACCTGTGAAAATCAGAGCTCTCTTTACTGCTAGGGGTAACAGTCTACTTGCTCAACAGATCACAGCTTGATTCCCAGAATTCTAGGTCACCTCTGTAATATCCATTCACTTGTAAAATGAGGACTTGATTCAGTGCCAGTAACAGGCAAGGAACTGACAGATTAAGAGCATCCTTTCAAAGCATAAAACTGAAACATGCAAAACCAACATATACCAGAAATGTGACAGGTTCTTAAAACTTTCTGTCAGCACCATACCCTGTAAAGACATAAAACGTAGGACAAGTCCCTCTGAACAAACACCACCCTCACCACCCCCAAAATTCTTAAGGACAGAGGATATATTTACACTGTCATTTTGCAGATTAGCTTTAGAAGGAAGTGATTACAACAGACTCTATGATAAAAAAAGCATATCGAGCCTGACATAAAGGAATCAGGGCAGGTTGGGTGTTTTGAAATAAACCAACCATATTCGTAGAGTTAAATTATGATTGTGTATAATCAGCAGTATCCAAGTAAATGTCACACTCCTAAACTCCTCATATGTTTAGATGGTAGTCCAACAGCTTAGGTGAAAAGTTAATTAAATGCCACAAAGAAACACTGCTCTAATTACAGAAGGATGAAAATGTTTGCACTGAACTGACGTTAACTCCTTGCCGTTTCAAAGACATTTATCAAAATTTCACCCGAAAATACCATTTCATCAATACGACTGAACAAATCCCTTGCTGTGGTTTTATGGAGCACGTTTTGGAACCATTGCTTTCTGCATAGTCATAGCTTTTAATACCACCAGAGCTTGTGTTGCTATATGCAGTGAACATAGTGGGTTTGGCTGGCACACAGTAAAGAACAGAAAAAGGGCATCAAAATGCCACAACTACAATGGGGCAGGAGGCAGCGGTGGGGGGTTGAAGAAGTAAGTACAAAATGCTTAAGATGTTACTGATTGCTAGAATCACTTTCTCTTTCAGCAGTCCACAGAACATTTAGATTGCAAGTCCTGGACTTCTCTTAAGCAGAACAGCAACCTGCTATAAATCATTTCAACAGGGAGCAAAGGCAACAAAGTACCTCATTCTCCAGGTTCACATGGGGGCACCGGAGAAGAGGATTCTCTTATTATAAGTAGGGCTCTGTTTTAAGGAAGGCAATTTCACAGCAATAAACTGCAGTAGCATTAAAACATCTTCAAATGTGACAGCCATAACAGAGATTTTAACAAAAACAACTTCAAGAATTTTCATGGACAAGCACATGGCAAATACAAAGGCGCTCAACACAACTCATTTTATTTTAGTAGCTAACACTTTAATACCAGCCAAAAAAACCAAATGCCATGCTAGCCAAAGTAGGAAGCATTTGGCTGCAATCACCATGTGGATGCAAAATACAGCTCTATTACTGGAGCCCTAGAAATCCTAATGGGAAAATAAGAGTACAAACCTTGCTTCTTACCTCAACAGTATCACCAATTAAAGGCACAATATCACCCAGTATAGGTTTAAAACTTTGTTGGTCATTGATAGTTAGTTCAGTCTGTGAATCTGTCCCCTTGCTGACGCTGGCCATTGTCTCTTCTTGAGGATCCAAACTGGATGCTCTGAGCGCAGCAGACAACACCTCCACTTGTGCTGCAGCACATGAAAGAGAAACACATGAGAGACTAAACCGCAATAAAACTTTTAGCAAGACAACTTTTAGCAAATCAACTTTTAGACAGTGACTAATTAACTGAAAGATGGTGGAGGAACTACAGGGGAGGTACAAACCTAAGATCATTTAACTGTTGGTAAATCCCAGAGTGGGGACAATGAGAGTGTCACTCCACTCTTTTCCCAGGATGCTCCACCAAACCACAGTATTTGTCCTTAAAGTAAAAAAAGCCAAAACCAAACAAAAAAAACCCCAACAGGAATAAGAGATTGCTGTTATGGCAGGATCAGTTCTTTAAGAATCTCAGTACATCTGAACAGGGAAAAT